ATTTTATACCAGGCTTCCAATAGACATGGGATTGAAACTGCCAAATTTGGACAGGTAACTCGGAGATGAAAGGCTCTCCCCTGTCACCCAGCCTCTATTTAATTGAACTTGACTTCCAGGAAAAGAAGGTGAGGGCTGAAAAGAAGTGTTCTGCCTTACCAGAGATCAGTGAGCACTTTGAATGGAACCGGTAATTCACTTTCAGAGGGACTGGAGAATTTACAGTATGGAAAACAGGCCTAATGCAATTCTGCATTTCCCTCTGAAGTGGCAGCTCACGGAACAAACCCTCCTGCATTGTCAGGTGTTTGTTTCCTGTCTCAGCGAGCAAAAGTGACTCCGAATATTCTGTGTGATTAAAGGCTTGATCCCAAAAGGATCTCAGCTGCTGCAAATTCTTACTGACTTCCATCAAGCACGTCTCAGGATCAGGGCCAAAATGTGTAATGACTAGGCACAAGGAGCCGCTGCAGCTTTTTCCCATGATGCAAAGCTGTCCCCTTTGATGGTCTTTGGAAATGGGCCTGACTCGAAAATGGAAACAAATCTGGATTTAGCAAATGGCCTTTTATCCCTTCAAACCGCAGTTAAAAACGTGGGATCCAAACACTCCCAGACTTGGAGGGGTTTGAAATCTGGATCTGGACCTAAATGCTGCAGCTCAATAATCAAGGGCCGTCGACCTCAACTGGAGTTTTGGACAAATAAAGACTCACTAAAATCTGGCTCCATCTGTGCAGGGAGGACGTACGATAACAGCTGGGATTCTAATTGTATCCCCTTTTGGCTGATGGTTTTCAGAATGGAGTCCAGCCACTCAGCTACTTTAAAGCAATATTACACAGCCAGTGCTGTTTCCAGATCTTGCAAACCAGGGTCAGCCTCCTAGGGAAGGGTTTGCATGTCAAGAACCCTGGCTCTGTTGTAGCTGGAAGCTACTGCGAGGGAGGAAGGGGACGACGTCCGACCGTTTGGCGTTTAGGGCGAGCAGAGGTTGTGATTAGCGATGGGAGAGAGAGTGGCCTGGCCAGAACAGTGACCTGGGACTCGGGACTCCTGAGTTCTAGTCCTGCCTTTCTGTGCCTCATTTTCCCCATTCATAGCATGGAGGAAACACTTGCTTGCCTCACAGAGTCGGTGCTCTGAGTTGGAATGAATTAGCATTTGTAAAGTGCTTGGAAGTCTTTGGCTGGAACGGGGTATAAAAAGGGAAAGGCTTATTAAACCCCATGCGCCTATCAACCCTCTGTCTCGTTTCCTCCTCTGACTTCCCTGCTGGGGTGGTTGCCTCGGAGAAACAAGACAGTTCATCAGTGCTACAGGCTAGCAAGCCACTGACCCATGCGCAGCAGGTAATTCATCATCCAGTCCGTCGTCATGCACGTGCCTAACCTAAAGCTTAGTGAAGTCAATAGGGGTCTTTCCTTTGACTCCATTGGGATTTCCATCCAGGCTACAGTCCCGCAGTGAAAGATGTATGAAATACTAGACTGACACTGTGCTTGACGTTGGCCAAAAAGCTGCTCAAGTCATGCAATGCCCAATCCTGCTTCCTCACATCAATGCTCTTCGGCCCAGAATTTGACTTCAATGGGAGTTAGGTGTCTAAATACCCTTAAAACTCTGGCCCTTATTAACATCCATGAGAAGAAGGAGGAGGCCCATACTATGACTTGGATTCCCCCAGGCCACTGTGGGTTTTTAGACACTGAATTAATGGCTTTTCTCCCAAGGAAGCGAGAAGAGGAGTAACTCAGAAGCTCTGTGTTCTGGGCACAAGTACCTGTCGAGGTGAAAGGCAGCTATTTCCGCATTGTGCCTCTGAAAGTCAACGAAGTAGAAACAATCTTCTGGAGTCTCTTCCTCTCGTTCCTGTCTGAAGGAAACGAAGGGGTTACTAACCGGGCCAGGAGAACACACCCGGGGAAGGATGGGAGCGACCTGGGAGCAAGGTGGGAAGTGAGCTTTACAGAAGAGCCCAATGCACCAGCAGAGACCTGCAACGCTTGTGCTAACGACATTCGCCGAAGGACAAGAGCATCAGGCTACAGCTGTCATTTAAAAGACACCGGTGACGGGCCAGGAATGATTAAAAGCAACAACTGGACGGAGCAGTGCTCATATACTTATTGGAATGGCAGACACACGGAGAGAGGCAGGAGGTGGGCGGTGCTTCTGGGTGTCGTGCCTGCATTTAGACCTGGATTGGCAGCCCCAGAGTCCTTGTTTACCCACAAGGCAGTATGCAGCCAGGGGCCAGGCTGCTCTGCCAACAGGCCTCACTCCTCACCACCACCTCTAGCGTCTCGCTCTCCCTGTCTCTTTGATTCTTGGTCCTTCTGCTGAGACTGGCACCAAAAGACTTAGGGCAAAGGTTCTCAAACTGGGGGTCGGGACCCCTCAAGGGGTCACGAGGTTATTACCTGGGGGGGTGCGAGCTGTCAGCCTCCACCCCCAAACCGCGCTTTGCCTCTAGCATTTATAATGGTTTTAAATACACCTCTACCTTGATATAACGCTGTCCTCGGGAGCCAAAAAATCTTACCGCGTTATAGGTGAAACTGCGTTATATCGAACTTGCTTTGATCCGCCGTAGCGCGCAGTCCCGCCCCCACCCCCACCTCCGGAGCACTGCTTTACCGCGTTCTATCCGAATTCGTGTTATATCGGGTTGCGTTATAGCGGGGTAGAGGTGTATATAAAAAGGGTCGCACTCAGAGGCTTGCTATGTGAAAGGGGTCACCAGGACAAAAGTTTGAGAACCACTGACTCTGGGTACGTCTACACTTACCTCCGGGTCCGGCGGCAGGCAATCGGTGTTCTGGGATCGATCCCGGAAGTGCTCGCCGTCGACGCCGGTACTCCAGCTCAGCGAGAGGAGTACGCGGCATCGACGGGGGAGCCTTCCTGCCGCGTCTGGACCCGCGGTAAGTTCGGACTAAGGTACTTCGAATTCAGCTACGTTATTAACGTAGCTGAATTTGCGTACCTTAGTCCGAAGTGGGGGCTTAGTGGGGACCAGGCCTTAGGGTATGTCTGCTCTGCAACTGGGAGGTGTGATTGCAGCATGTGTGGTGACAGTGGTCACTCAAGTATACACCCAGGGACCTGGGTGGGGAGGGCTAATCTGTGCAGCCACCCATGCTGCTACAGCTTCACTATTGGAGTTACTAGAGCTAGCTGAGAGGTAGGGAAATGAAGTCTACCCGTGCTGCAGTCACATCTCCTGATAGCACGTAGCCATGCCCTTACTGTCAGCTTTGGACACCTGTCCTTTAGCAACAGGACTGAGACCAGCAGCTTATTTCTCTCAGGCCACCAAATAGCCAGCAGATAGTGATTCTGAGTCACCACCGTCTCCGTTTGTGAAGCAGCGCCAGCAGTTCCATACCCCCTGAGCTAATCAGTCCTCCAAGCTCATGTGTTTAACAGGAAAGCATGCTGCAATCCAAAGCTTGCCGGCCTCATCTCCTCCCAGCAGGCGAGCCAAGACATACCTTCCTACCAGCCACAGCTGAGTGAGTGCCTTCGGAAACGACATATTTTACCTCTTGGAATTCATAGAGACAAGCCATGGGGGAAAGAGAGGGAGAGGAACCTCTATTATAAGCACATCGTTGAACTCCGAAAAGCTCGACCCATCATTCCGAGCCAAGGCGGTGCGCAGAAAGCAATCCGAATGGAAATAAATGTAAAGGGCCAAAAGGGCTATAAATAAATGCAGAAGCAATTTAAAACTGCGATTCAACCACGAGCTAGCTCCTGGAAATATACTTGGGATTTCAATAAAAAAAAACAAATGAAGGAAAACAGGAATTCTATTGGGAAACAGCAGAACTGAATAGGCCTCAACAATCTCCTGCATACACACAGACACGACAGACAGCACTGTCTTGCGTCGTCAGCAGTGTGGAGCGAATCCGGTTTTAAATATGCAATTCCAACAACAGGTGTAAGAACTTTGTGTGTTTTTCTGTGCCAGGCACACCTGTGACACAGTGGGAACAGTCAATGAGAGCTAATTTTTCTGGAAGCCTTTTGAGCCGTCAAGACAAGGTTTACTGAGTAAAGGAGACAAAAGATGCTAATGCAATTTCCACGTCCTTTGTCAACCTGTTTTTATTACAAAGCCAGGTTGTCAGTGTCCCATTGCTTCACCCCATCCACTCCAGCCTGGAGCTATTCACTTGCATCATGTCCTTCCCTGCTGAAACATCTCGGGTTGTTTGCTGTCAGTGGTTATTTGCACAGATGGCTCTGCTAAAGAAGCCAGAGGTCAACTGCCTTTATTATAGCGTAGGCCACCTTGCTTAACTGCTAGGTGAGGCTGTTTTGGGAAAAAGCGACTGCAGGTGATTTAGAGCGAATACGTATGTACACTCTCCTTACCTCATGGGTTTGAACATGGCTTTCCCAAAGTCCTGGAACCTCAGGACCAGTTTCAGATGTACACCGCTGGGCTTCACAACTTGCGTTGGGGAGGAGAATAAAACAGAGTGAGAAATTCTTGATTTGACACTGGTAAAATATTTCTTAAGTATCATTTGGTATCAGAGAAATTCATCTTCCTTCTCCACATGAGTAAATCTCCCAACTCAGTATGGATAAAATAGCTCATGTCAGCTGGTCTATTTATTGCTAATTCGCTGCTGCATCTCACCCCTATAGTTCTTGCCATGGTAATTTTCCCTGATCCTGCTCTATGCTAGGCAGACTATTTTCCTTTAGCATTTCTAGTCCTCAGTCATTTGACATTTCTCCTCTGTGATCTTGGATTTCGCCATCTCGCTTGCCTTTATTGAACAATAAGCGAGAGTAAAAGTTGCTGGTGGTGCTGTGCGTACGTGCAAGTCAAAAAATCTGCAGTGGGAGTGCCGGGTGGAAGCTGGCTGCCCGGATTCTGCCTTCTAGGAAAATCTTCAACACAGCGCAGAAGCGTAAGTGGGGTTGGCCAAGGAGCCAAGGGCATGGTCTATGGTATGCCTACTCAGCTGTTCTCACCAGGCACTGAGTGCTACATGTAGCCCCCTGTGCAAGTTATTATACTCTTAGGGTAGGTCTACACTTACCCAGTAGTTCGGCGGCAAGCAAATCGAACTTCTGGGTTCGACTTATCGCGTCTTGTCTGGACGCGATAAGTCGAACCCGGAAGTGCTCGCCGTCGACTGCGGTACTCCAGCTCGACGAGAGGAGTACGCGAAGTCGACGGGGGAGCCTGCCTGCCGCGTCTGGACGGAGGTAAGTTCGAACTAAGGTACTTCGAACTTCAGCTACGTTATTCACGTAGCTGAAGTTGCGTACCTTAGTTCAACTTGGGGGGTTAGTGTAAACCTGCCCTTAGAAAAAACAGAGTGAACAGTGGGGCTGAGAGCTGGTCCCAGCCGCCGTGCGGGGTGACATAAGTGTTACATTGGCACCCACTGCAATTTAAAGTGAATTTCATGCTGGTGAAAGCTGCCCGCGGGTTTACATCCTGAGATGGTGGGCGGAGCCTACCAAAGAAACTGAAGCCCCGCCCCCTCATTTAAGGTTGGGGCCATAGAGCTCAGGATTTGAGTGACAAAGCTGCATAGACAGCCCTGGAGAATGGAGCTCTCTGCTTGTTCTCAGAGCAGGTACAGCCTGGGCATGGAACAGTGTGAGTTTCCCACATGCTGCCCTGCGAAGTTGTCTCAACCCCAAGCTGGAAGGGTCCCCTCTAGGGGCTGAGGGGGTTAATGCACATCCATGCTCACTCAGGGTTTGACTCAAAGCTCATTAAGTCAATGCAGAGACTCCCAATGCATTCAATGAGTTTGGGAGCAGTTCCCCAATTCTTGGCCTCACTTTCTGAGACTAAAAGCAAAGGCACCAATTAATCCCACTTGTGGTCATGTGCTTCTGTGGTCTGGATCCCAGTTCCATTAGAAACAGAACTCAGGCCATCAGCTTTCTTCACACAGGCCACCAAAGAGCCAGCCGAGAGATAAGGGCTTTGGCTCAGTACTGACCTGGTTTGGATTTGCAACTTTCACCTTGATTTTTTAAGGCAGCAGTTTGCACAAAGGCTGAGGAATTACCAAATGAAGCAGGAAATGTTCATGTGGGATTCAAGGAAAATTCAGAGCTATTATCTCGTCTACAAGGATTGCATTTAACAGAAAAAAGTGTCCTCTCCGTACCAGGTGTCAGGTTTGCTAAGCTATCTAGTACAAGGAGGTAAAATGACCTGCAAGTAGCGAGGACACAAATGAATCACTTACTCTGGGTGCAGTCACAGGCTCCTAATAAAGCTTTCTCATCCTGACTGTAATCTGCAGGGAAAGAAAAAGGGATCAGAGAATCATTCCCGTTGTACCTGGGCTCATTCTGGCAATTATTCTCGACCCGGCCGCTGCCATTTCAAAACGGAGACGTGCCGCTGGAGCTTGGTGCTGCTGGCGTTAACCAACTTGCCAAGAAGCAAATGAAATGAAGCAAGGTCTGGTGTCTGGCTCAGTACAACGCTCAGAAAAGGCAGAGTCAGAGACCGGTGTGAACCCAGCAGTCACTTCTCACAAGTGACTATCCCCCTGGCAGCAAGAGTTCGGGTCAACTGACTCGGGCTTGTGTGTGGGTGTAAAGGTAGCAGTGTACTGCAGGGCTTCTCAACCTTTTTCTTTCTGAGGCCCTGCCACTCCATGGCCCACCTCTGCCACAACAGCTGTTTTTCTGCATATAAAAGCCAGGGCAAGCATTAGGGAGAAGCAAGCAGGGCAATTGCCTGGAGCCCCACACCATAGGGGGCCCACAAATCTAACTTGGTTAGGCTTCAGCCTCAGGTGGCAGGGCTCAGGGCCCTGGGCTTCAGCGCCATGTGATGGGGGTTTGGCTTTCTACCCTGGGTCTGAGGCCCTCTCCCCTGATTAGGTTTCAGAGCCCAGGCCCCAGCCTGAGCCCTGAATGTTTACACTGCTCCCTTAAGCCCCGCAGCGCGAGCCAGAGTCAGTCGACCCAGACTCGCCGCCGCGGGTCTTTTGTTGGCAGTGTAGACGCACCCTCGGGCACTTCGGAGCAGGTCGAAAAACTGAAAACCTATTTTTCCTATTTAAAAGCACGTCGACAACGCTATTGAAATTTGTCAGTTACGTTTTCAATAAGGTTTTGGAGAACGTTTTATACAAAATAAAAATAAAACCCCAAGGCTGGAAAATGGTCACTCCATTTGTGTAGGTATTTATTTTTTACAAAAAATCTTTTCATTTGAAAGATTCCAACCGGTTCTATTATGGGGCCAAGTGAGCCGCCTTTCCCGACTCTTGTTGTATGTGAGTATATGGAAACTCTTACCGGCACTGACAGTGTTAAAATCTTGCATGTCATGGAGGAGTTTGTTAATGGCAGGGCTGGAGCGGGGGTACAGCCCATGGCGGCTGATGCCCAGGTGGAATTGCAGCCAGCTTGCTTCCCGCCCAAGCTGCAGCAGCGAGTCAGGAGAAGTTAGGTTGAGCTCCTCTCTGTAAAGCTTATGTCTCCTGAAAAACATTACGTTAGACGATGAAAAGGGCATGTCACTGAATGTAAATCCTTAGTGCTCCAAAACAAGCAGACTGCTGGTTTTCAAAGAGCTGGGAAAACGCTATTAACCGACAGTTCCACGTTATACAGAGCTTTCCAGCCAGAGATAGCAAATTGCCTTACGAGAGTGGGTAAGGATTAGGATCTTGATTTTACAGGTGGGGAAACCGAGGCACACAGAGAGAGCGCCTTGTCAAAGGTTGCCCAGGAAGACTGTGACAGACTTGGAACCAGAACCCAGGTCTCCTAAGTCATGTCTTAACCACGTGACCATTATTCCTAGTGTGGTGTTCTCTGTGCCAAACCGGAGAGGGCAAAAATATTCTTTTCATTACCTTTTTATGGTTATAGTGGGGTAGTAGCTAGGGACCCCTGTTGGAGTTCCATGCAGACTAACAGCCAGACAGCCTCTGCCTCACAATCTAGGATTTAGACAACACACAAGAGGAAAATAAACAGACAAATGGGGGAGGAAGGATGAGATACCAGCAGAAGTTTTCATAGTTTTACAATAGCTTCCCACTTTAGCTGCTGGGGCAGCAGTCTGAAAGCTCCGGCTGGTGGGCCAACAGAGGGGGATCTTCTGCTAGTCTGTTGAATGAAACTTTTTGGGGGTTGGAAGGCAGGGAGGGAAGGAGAGTCCATAGAAGGGTCTTACTCATACAGAGATGCCTGCAAAATGAACAGCAAACTGAACAGAGGACTGAAAAGGCCAGGGTGGGAAGAAGCCGTGTCTGCTGAATGTTAATGGGCAAACTGGGGATAATAGGGGACGTCCCTAGCACACAGGGGTGTTGTAAGGATAAATCCATGAAAGATTGCGAGGCCCTCAGGTACTGTAGTGATGGGGGCAGTCAAGTACCTAAGAGAGTCATTTTGAAAAGGGGCAAAGTTTCAGAGAATAGCATCATAGGATTGGAAGGGACCTAGAGTCTTGCACTCATGGTAGGCCTAAGTATTAGACCATCCCTGACAGGTCTTTGTCTAACCTGTTCTTAAAAGCCTCCAGTGACGGGGAGATTCCACAACCTCCCTAGGCAATCTATTCCAGTGTTTAACCACCCTGACAGGAAGTTTTTCCTAATGTCCAACCTAAACCTCCCTTGCTGCAATTGAAGCCCATTGCTTCTTGTCCTGTCCTCAGAGGTTAAGGAGAACAATTTTTCTCCCTCGTCCTTGTAACAACCTTTTATGTACTTGAAAACTGTTATCATGTCCCCTCTCAGTCTTCTCTTCTCCCGACTAAACAAACCCAAATTTTTCAATCTTCCCTCATAGGTCATGTTTTCTAGACCTTTAATCATTTTTGTTGCTCTTCTCTGGACTTTCTCCAATTTGTCCACATCTTTCCTGAAATGTGGCGCCCAGAACTGGACAAAATACTTCAGCTGAGGCCTAATCAGGAATGTTCAGCAAATCCACCCTGAGATGGAGCACAAAGTCCTAGGGAGAGCAGTGCTGGTTTAATACTGCACCACATGGTTAATAGCTTCTTCCTGAGGGGACAATCAGCAGGAAGGGGCTAGGGAGGAAGTGAATTTCCCTGAAGTGTTCTCAGCTAATTGCTCAGTCAGGGATAGGAGGGCTTGGCTTCCCCTTCTCTCCCATTGAAGGAAAGAGGTTCATGTTTGCTCCCCAGAACCTACAGACCTCTCTTGGTCTGCCCAGAGTACAGGGGGTCTGTTGGAGAATGTGGGTCTCCATGGGGAGGACCTGTGCCTCTTCACTGGCTTTGAGCCCCCATAATCTCCTACCAAGTCCTGGGGAGCAGGACTCCACACTAGGGGCCCCTCCTTCCCCCCACCAGCCCTTAAAGAGAATCCCAGAGACCAGAAGGAATTCTGCTTAGGGGTCAATGCAACCTGCTGCTGCATCCGATTTTAAGCGGATTACTCTCGTGGGGTGGTTGCTATGAGTGACGGGGCACGTGCAAAGTTAAAATGTTTCTCTTACATTTACGGCTTGACCCCGGCCTGCCTCCCCCTGTCTCTGGCTTGCAACCTCCCCAAAGTGTTGGTTCTGGCCCTGGGTGAGGGCTCGCTGCAGGGACAGGGCAGGAGCAGGTGTGGGGAGCTGACCACTTTCCTTCCTCTTGGAAAGAGTCTCCTTCTTGAGCAGAGAAAGGGTGTAAAATGCATAGACAGCTCCTGTGTACTCCTCTTTTACCCATCCCCCTCTCTCATGGCCCTTTGTCTTTGATACAGGACAGTCACTTGCCCAGTAACTTCACTGCGTTTGTCCATGCAAACTACAGATTAGTGCCTAGGCTAATCATTGATCCAGGTGACATTCAACAGCTTAAGCCTGAAACGTAAGTAACCCCGGACTTTTTGATCTGGGTCAGCATACGCCGAAGCAAGGCCAGTGACACCGTGGCATGCTTCTTTCCTCGGTCCCGGCAGGAAAAATGAACATTCCACATGTTCACTAGAAATCCTGCCAGGCCATAAAAGCAGGAGAGCCAACCTCTGCTAAGTAAACAAGTGAGGAGAGAAGGGGAAAAGTAGGCTGGTGAAAAACCCCAAATGGGCAGCAAAGTCCCTCTTACAGCAGCCAGGCTCAGGAATATGAGGGGCCTTTAACTAGAGTCAATGGGGAACTAGCCAAGGTGGGTGGGGGCAAAGGGAAAAGTCCCGGAGTGTGGTGCTTTGTTTCTGGTTAGTATTTTCATCGACAGGACTCAAGTGCTTGGCAAAGGAGGGTACGAATGTACAAGGGACGATTAGTTTGGATGCCTGCCTTCTATTTCTACCTTTCTGCTCTGTGATTCCAGCTCATCTAGCCATCTAATCGTAGGGTTTTATACTGTTCACCAGCACCGTAGTCTCTGAATCCCCCAAACACCATTGGCAATTTGTGGCTCAATTTTCCCATCTATAAAATGGGGGTAATCGTTCCTCCCTCTCAGGGGTGTTGTGAAGCTGAATGCTGCCAGGTTAGTAAAGTCTTTCAAGACCCTCAGCTGGAACACCCCCTATCACAGCGCCGTATTATTAATGGCGTCTAGTTCTAAGTCAAGTGAAGAACAACAGGATAAAGTGTGTGTGAGTCAGTCTGTTCTGGCACTGTGCAAGCCCAGAAAGAGGCCAAACGATGGTGATGAATATGTGCTGGTGTGCTGGAAAAATGACGCAAGTGCTCTTCATCTCATTTTAGACCTGCAGTCCTAGCATCCTTTTCAGCCTATTGGCAGATGTTTCTGCTGCAGCTTGTCTGGAAGCGTTGCCTGCAGGGGGGGGTGATTATGTCACACAAGAGCTCCCCAGGAGTAACTATGTGCCAGTGAGATGGTTGCTCTTTCACAAAGGCTGGTTAGTCAGAGAAAGTTGGAGATACAGGGCCAGATTGTGAGCAGCTGAGGTCAATCAGGATCGCTCCCCTCGCTGCAGGGCTGGTTAAACCCGCTGAAGCTCTGGCCTGGAATGAGACGGTGTCAAGTACAGGCAAGAGCTTGACCTTGCCTGGTGAGGAGGGTCCAAGTGGGAAGGTCCCAGAGGCTGCTCTTGGGGCCATTTGGTAACTGGATAGGCAGCTGGACTCAGATGTAACAGAGGCTGTTGGCTTGGCTGGTACCACAAAGGTGCCCCCAAGAAAATGTGTTCCAATGGCACCAGAAACGGAGGCAGCCCCACCGAGCTCCATTGTTATTGCAGAGCAGGGCGAGCCCTTCTCTAAGGAGATCAAATGCAGTCAGTCACGCCCTCGCTCCTTGGGGCTGGTGTCTGCGCTGCGCCCTGGGATCTGAATGGTGCAGTGTCAGAAATTACCTGCACCGCTCAGCTGATTTAAAGCTGTTATTAACCCAGACAAAGGAGAAGTGGTGACATGTATTTGCAGGAACTAAAGCTTATTACTGCCTGAACTGGGCGATCTACCGGTGCAGGGAATTCCCAGCTGGCTAGAGCCAGTGTAGCCAGCTCTGTCACCCCTGCCTGCCCCACTTGGTGCAGGGGATGGGTTGGGGCCTGGGTTGGTGGAATGGCCCCTGTGGGTATGTCTACACTGCACTGTAGGGCTGGCTGTGGGACCCAGGCTTGTGGACTGGAAGTTTCCAAGCCCAACGTTGTGTGTCCACACTGCATGGTAAACCTGGGTTAACAGTTGCTGGCCCCAAGTCTCAGAACTGTGCTAACATGTCCATACGGACCTATGCAGCCCCTCTGACTCAGGTCTGCGGCTTGAGCCGTGTCTGCACTAGAGAATGACAGGCTTGGACCCAAGTCTCAGCGGGACTCAGGCTCTCACCCAACCCCTACTAGGATCCTAGGACTCAGGTGCTGAGTGCTTGCTGATCAGGCACAATACAGGCAGATTTGTGTGTGGACAGAAGTGGGCTCAAACCTGAGTCAAGGCCTGGCTTTAGTCAGCGGTGTAGACATATGGAACCAAACCCAGCCTGGCTGCTCCAGGATTGGGGGAGTGCAAAGGTAGTTGGGGTGTTGTGTTGAACGTAGCTCAGACAGGTCTCAGGATCTGGCCCTAGGGCCCTACTACACAATGCTAGGCCTTACTATTTCCCCTGGTACGCAGCGGGATTTCGGATGAGTTACACAGAGCTCTGTACGAAACTCTTTCTTAAGGGCCAGATCTGTACCTCAGGGCTTGGGTAATTGATGTTTGTTTTCATGTTGGTTGCATGCTTTTTAAAAGGACGAGGAAGGCATTTAGGAGGCCAAAATAACATAAGATCGGGGCCTTCCATGACGGTGGACTCCAGGTCAGGACTTAGGGAGCCCCTGAGAGGTGATGGTAGGCAGCCCAGTCTAGAGATATCAACCAAACTGGAGAGGTAGGGTCGTGTCTGAGTCCAGAAGCCGCAGTGAAAGAATCTTTTTATATTAATTACAATCAAACCCTGTCTCTTTTATTCCATGTGAACCACCACCGTTTTTTTTTTCACGGTGTTTAAGGTCCTAGATAGTAGAAAAGTTCATATCAATGTAAAGTGTTAATGTAGTGCTGTGAAAGACCGTGGCAGTACCAGCTTTCACATTATTTCTGCCCGATACACGACTCTATGAAGCAATTTGACAGCACTACATTGATTTAATGGTATAAAAGACAATTACCGGAACCTGGACCCTCCTTGGTAAGTAGAGCGGAACAGCACTCCTGGTACCATAGCACAACTTGGGGGGAGGGGTGTCGGGGGGGGGAATCGCTCCCTTTCATTAGCATTTTGCAAACGTTTGCAACATTTGCAGCTTTGGGCCAATCCTTGCTAAGCTGCAGTGAAATTAACTGGCTAGTGGAGGGACATTCAGCACATATCATTTGGAGAAGGGCACACTGGCTGTTCAGCAGAGCCCCGGACAGCATATACAGTCCTGATAAAGGGAACGCAGCCGCCCTGGCCCAGTTTGCATTGAAGGGTAGATCAGTGAAAGAAAGCAGGAACCTGCAGCTGATAACGAGTGGTTCATTAACAGAGAAGGGCACCGGCTGGGACCGAACACTCTAGAAGAGGAAAGCGCCAAGTTAATCCAGGCCTTTAACAAAACACACACTGTTGGGCAACACAAAAGCTAAAAAGAAACTTGCCTCTGACAAGGAGCTTTATTTTCTGGATGCCCGACGTAAAGAAAATTAAAAGCATCGGAGCAACGGAGGTCGAATGCCGGAGTCGGCATTGTTCAAACTGGTTGGAACAAAGGACACGCCGTGGGAGAGGGAACCCAGAAGGCTCTCGCTGTATGTGGGGCTGCACTCACTGATCTACACCTGGCAACCACTGTGCGGCCCCCCCGGTGCCCTGCAGCAGGCAGACGGCTGTGCACTCAGACTCGATGGCACCTGCAGAGCTCAGCCAGGCTGATCCTGACCTAAGCTGTGGCCGAAAGGTGTGGGGATTACGGGCATTAAGGATGAGAAGGGACACCAGGAGCTGCTCCTTTCCCCGAAACTGTAACTAAAGAATTCACTAGGGGGCCACTGCTGGATACACATGGTGCAGCAATGTGCAAAGAGGTTGGTGTTTT